TGCTGACGGCTTATTGAATGGGTTGTCTCCGAGTGAACTGCAGAAGATCTATGATAACTCGGTAAAGAGAGCTGAGAAGGCGGCATTGCCACCTGGAGGATTATTCAAAGGTTTTAAAGATACTCGGTCGGTTCTCTCTTTCCTACATGAGTGTGAACGCACTCCTTCGTGGGACATTGGTTATGGTCCTAGTGCTGCTTTCTTCCAAGGCATTTACTTGGAAAGGTGTTTGTCTGATGTTATTCGACAGACCGTGGTTGATGGTGTTGATAGACGTTTACTCCAACAAGGATATTCCAGTTATCGCAAAGCTGTTCGGCGAGCCGGATGTATTCGATCTGAGTTGGTAGAACGTTTTCTTTCTATAGAATCCCGTCGTATATTGATTGATCGATGGGAGAGGCTCAGTTGGGATACTAAACGGGAGACCTTCGATCAATTCTATCTAAGGTTTGATTACACCCGAATGGCGGTTGATTCACAACGACATGTGCCGTTGACTACAGACGACGTATCTGATCGACTCTTCGGTAGCTTCCCTGATGATGTTTGTGAAGATATTTTGCATCGTTATGGTAATGCACCATCACTAGAGCAACTGGTCGAATATGGTAGGCGTCATAATGCTGTATTGGTCCGACGTGCTGCTAGAGCCGGACGATTATCTCGTCAAGCTGCTGTTGATGTTATGGCTGGCGACCCAGTGGTTACGATGCCTGTTGATTCGGCTATGAATACTAGTGAGGCTGCTGCTCAAACTAATTGTCGGTTGTTCATGAGCAACCTGAGTTACGATGTTAGTGAGAAGCAGGTTTTGGATGCACTTAGGAGTATTCTGAAGCTTTCTGGGGTATCTCCTGTGTCTGTTCACCTATTTCGTGACCGTAATCGTCCTGGTCGTAATCGCGGTATTGGTATTTTGGAGTTTCGTGACCCTTCTAGTGCTACTAATGCTCTATCCTCTATAAATGGAAAGGCTGTTTTAGGTAGAACATTGCGAGTTCGTCGTGATGTCCCTGCTGCTAAAAGGAGACGTGTGGATTCGGGTCAAAACAGTGGTGTTGCTGCTCAGGATGCATCGGTATCATCAACTTCCTCTGGAGTACCTACTTCCTCTACTATGCCTACGATGCCAGTGGATACCAGCTTGCTACAAGACGTGGTATCTCCAAATGCTGAGGAATCTCAAACTCCTACGGTTCTACCTACTAGTGTATGTTTAACTGATGATCCACCTAAACAGGTGAATGCGGTACCATCATCATCGGAAAGTCATTTCAAGGAAAATGATGAGTCGGAGAAAGGTGCTGAGATCCATCTTGATCAGCTCGCTAGAACGGCTAATCTTAGTCGACAGTCCACTGGTATGTTGACGGATATTTTAGCAGCTGTACAACTACCAGATGGATCATCACATTCACTTCGATGGTTACTGGATAGTGGTGCTGTCGAGCATTTGGTTTCTGCTACAGCGGGTAATCTTCTTTCGGATGCTCCTCGTGTCCATCTTGATCATCCAGTAACACTTCTATTTGCTAATGGTCAACAGCAAAAAGTCGATTGTGCTCGTCGAGTTACTCTTCGTATTGGTAGCGATTGTTATACAACAACAGTACTGATTGTTGATGGGTTGAGTCTTCCAGGAGTATTGAGCCTTCATAAATTGGCACGGGATGTCGGATCCTTGTCATGGTTCATGTGCGCTGACGGGAGTGAGTTACTTCAATTGGGGTCTGCCAATGTATTAAGGTTATGTTCCGAGTCATCTATTCCATCGAGATTGCCTGTCTTCCTCACTCTTGCTGACAGTGATAATGTTACTGTGCCTTCA